TTTTAGAGGTTTGGATAGGTATAAGTTGTAAATAAAAAATATTGATAATGGATAACTTTGCAAAAAATACAAAGTAAATATTTAAAATTGATAATAAAAAAATAGTAATCGAGGATCCAAATAACTTTAATCGTAGATATGCATATTCTATATTGTACTGTATAGATCTTTATTAACTTCCTTTTTGACGATACATTTACGTGGGAATAGATATTTGTGAAAAGGTAAACCCATTTTGATTTAATAACCATCTATACATTAACGTTATTTCATGGATGTGCATTTCAGATTAGGAATAACAATTATAGTATATAAGAAATAATCAAACAACTTGAGCTAAGAGCACTATCATAGATTATAGGTTACGATTTTATTATTGATTAGATATCCAAACCAAAAGAATTTTTGCGAGTTTTGTCAAATGTTAACTCAAACTCTTAACACAATCAAACTCGAGCTAACCGGGTTTGATGTGGTTTGGCTCGCCAAAAAACCCTTATAGACTGCTGATTGTTTTATATGCTGTGCCACAGGTGCCGCGCCGTGCAGAGTGCGGACTAGGTCAATGTTTTTTGCGCTATGTTAAACAGGACCGGCATTAACATTTTGTCACTTCTTATAATTTTTTGGAAAATATTTTTGATACTCAAATCTCATAATCGCCTTATGGTAGCATATATTATTTTACTTCATTTATTGTCAAGAGTCTAGGTTTTTAATTTTCTGCAATAAAGACGCCACACCCTGTATAAACTCAATACATATTAAAAATGTAAATACCTGGTAAACAAAATAAATCTTTGTGCTGCCTTTGAAAATTTCGAGAAAGCACTTAGAATCTTTTTTATTAAACATCGCATTCTAAATATGTAGACATCAACATCTTTTTCTTATTGTATATCCTATATATTTTTACATAAATACTTTCATATTATATTTATCGGATTTGCAATGATATACATAACGATTGATGAGTTTATCTCTAATAGTAAGAGAGACTGTGCATGAGCGTAATGTAATTGGGAAGACATTATTATTGGTCCTAGGCAGTTCAATCTTTGTCTGTTTCACATTATTCTCATGACTAAATCTTTTGCTCACATCTCCTTTACTATTAGAAATAAACTCTTTAATTGTTCAATAAGTCGAAACAAAGGTATATAATTCTGGAATGATACGCTCGATTGTTTTCACTTCATAATCCTTTACATATTGCTTACACTTACTCGATTCTCTTAGCAAATGTGTCCATAAATATTTTATCTTGATGCTGAGATATCTTCCACGCTCCTAAACCAAAACCAATAACGTGCAAATACGTCGAAGTGTCAGCTACTCTCCCCCGTTCATTGGCTTCAATCAAGAAAGTATCTATTGAAAGAGCAAGCCTTCTCTCATACACCATGTTATTAAAGTACGTGTCTTCGCTTATTTGGGTAAATTTTAATTCATCTACAAACTGTTCTTTTAAATCGTCATAAGTTAGACTTGCTTCACCGTAAAAATTTAAGAAAATACTTTTTGTTGTCGGTATTAAGGTGTTTCCGTATCCGTTTCCTGGCACATTCTGCGTTTTCGTAATAACTGTCTCTTGGTATTCCATCACTCCGCCTTTTTCTTCAAATCTGGCTCCAATAAGTCCTACGATGATTCCTCGCTTTTCAGTTCTGTTGGAATTGCTTTCGATTTTCCCACAATTCTGTCTGTCCCCTAAATTGATGAACTGTGTATACGAAGACACTGATAGTAGTGCTGATAGTTTTATTTCATCATAACTTAAACAGTTGCTTAGGATTAAAGGTTATTCTTTTGGGGTTCCTGAAATTTCAAAGCATAAAAGAAATGAGGTTACTAAAAGTTTATGGCATTAATATGGACATTTCGTTTAACTAATTTTATTAATCCAAGATGCATCTACTTTCTTTAAATGCTAATTTTTATTTAAAATTGCATTTGTCATTGTCTATAGACCAACCCCACAAATACATAAAAAAGACTATAACCTCGCATATATGTGCGGATCATAAGTCATCATTATTCATCATTTGAGTTTAGTAAGAACAAATTAAAATTTAACGTGGTAACTCTTCTGCTCGGTAATAGGCGGCAGTTCTAGCGGTGAAATGTTGCCAAGACTGGGCATACAAAAAATTGCATTATACAGGTTGTATAAAAATGTAGCGAGTCACATATTTTTTATTGAATATTCTGTATTTTATCACGTAAAAGATTGCAATTTCTTGCTCAGTGCTCATATTGGTGACACAGTGTTCAAAAAAATTAAACAAGTTAATGTGGAAAATTTGTAAAAATTGGTAGGTATGTTAATATTATTTCGTTTTTAGTTACCTATTCTCTCATTAAGTTGTTATAAAGGTTAGTTATCAAAATAGTTATTTCTCATTTCAATAAGGTTGTTTTATTTTTTTTTTAATTATTTTCTATTTTAAACGTATATTTTATGCCAGCAAATCTTCATAATGTTAAAAGGAAGGAAAAATCCTACATTTGTATTCTAAAGTTTTTTCTATCTTTAATGATTAAAAGCTGTGAGTGTCAAAATACAAACAATAACCTTGTACCTGCATTCCGCGATGTACCTACTAATAACCTTGTATATTAAATAAATTTATAAAAATTATGGCATCATCAAATATAAAAAAGTTGTGTTACTAGCTGTTTAAAATATCATTATGAATTTGTTTATTTGGAAATATATTTTCTGCACTATTTCAATACCAAAAAATGGAATTATGTAGTAACTAATTAACGATATTATGATCAAATAGACTAACTGTGACACCGTTACAGAATATCCGATCATGTGAAATTGAGTACATAGTTATTCGTTGATTTTTTAAAACATATTATCAATACCTACATCATACATTTAAATAATTAAGCGTGTGCGTGACAACATTGCCAAACTTGCGTTGCTAGGATACGCGTAGGAATGCCGGCCACTGCATTTGATTCTTCCTAAAATTCTGCTATCGGTGTACTCTATTGGCAAATCGGAAATTTAAAACTACTATCCTATTCCAAGAGCTGTCTGGAGCTATAAAGCTGTATATTTTATTATTAAAATATTGATAATTAAAAATTCTAAAGATAACAAATGTAAAAAGTACACGTCAGCGGCAAAAGAACAATCAACTTTGTAAGCACAAAATATCTTACAAAAACACAAATTTCTTGTACTGGTATTTTTTAAAGCGGAAAGACTGGTTACACAAAATATCGAGGGCTGTAATTTAAAATTTAATTACCTATACAAAGCTGAAAGAAATATCGAATATACAAATGTAAATAATTCAAATATTTTTTCTTACCTACTAACTCCCATTTTCCAGATTGGCGAACTCCGTCCAATAACATGTATCTGTCATGTGGGCCAACAAACGCTACGGCCCTTTTCATTAACAATCTATCCAACAACATCTCCAGCGTCATATCCTTGTAAAGTTCCGTCTCTATTTCAGTACCAAAATTTCTTTTATTTCGTAAAAAATTAGAGTACAAAATCAACGCATGTTCATGAAGTACATAATATGCTGAATTAATATTTTGCATCAAAGTTTCTTTAACATTTGTTGCAGCTATGCTCTTACATTTAACAGATTCGATGGGAAACTCCAGAGTAAATCTTTCACTATTATCCATGAGTTGTTCTAATGTAACTTCGGAAAGGTGTTCCTCAATGTTAATATTCATCAGTTCATCATAATTCTGTTGAGACTATTGGGGTAACTGAGCAGGCCATATTTCCCACATTTTCTCTTATGTTATAACAATAACTCACTGGCAAGGCAATATACGCACAGACCGCATAGGTGTACCTGTATTTCTGATTCATAGCGTCCACGTTTGTAGCATAGAGTAATACCGGTTTTTAGGTTAGTCAATATTGCGTGATATTATAATTTCTATACTGAAAATGTAATGTAATCGGTTACCAGCGATTACAGCACTCTAAAGTGACTGTGTAAAAGATGTCTCTAGGTGTATGCATGAAGCAACCAATCATACATGATATCAGCATATCCTAAGCTAGGTGTATTGTATGTGCCGCATTAAATTTATAGAATATGAGAATTCATATTAGTGAAAATTAGATTTTAAATAAAACTAAATATATTTGATATACTTCTTTAAACCTTCTAAATTATATCTACAAGTTAATACCAAAAATATGTTTTCTCATTCTAATGAAACTATTTTTATATCTTCTTTTTTAAAGTTTTTAATTATTTTTTAAAACATATTTTATTATTAGTCCTTGTACTCGGATATTAAAATAATTTAAATAAATAAAAAAAAATCTGATGTAATAATCCTATCAAGTGAAATGAAACAACGTCTTTCTATACCAAAAATGTAGGTATGTTGGTATGCAGCTAGGTACCTATCACACATCATAGACAAGCTTTTTAGCCAATATAGTCTTTTAAAGAAATCACCATGTAAATATAGCCATTTTTTTTCTAAATGTTTTGTAAATATATGTAAATTTATTATGTTAATATTTATTAATTTCATTTACAAAAGGGCCACTTGAAAATGCAATAATCTTAATTTAAAAATAACTTTATTACACGGAATTTAATTATTATATTTTAATTAGATTTATACTACTTGAATTAAAATTGTCAAATATAGTGTTTTGCAAATTAAGAATTAAGTCATATTGCTTATTTAGAAAGGAAGAACAAATTATATTATTTGAGTTATATTTTATTATTTGTTTTTGTGGCATTTTGAAAACTACTCTAATTACTACAAAAATTGTCTAAAAGAAAGAAGATTAATTAGAGACAAAAGACATTTTAATCGATATTTGTGAAGAAAATAATATCATCAAATAATACTGGCACGAAATATGTGTACACGTACATAGTCAATTTAATAATTTTTCCATGATCATTGCTGTTTTCTCAAGATATTAAAATAAAGTCAAATGCAATAAAAAGTTAATTTTATTATAAAAGTAATTTCTTAAAAAAATTTATCAAAATTATATCTAGGTAAGTTAATTACATTAAAAATATAAAAAAAAACACTTGTTACGAAGAATTATTAATCTCGTACTTCCAACTCGTAATTTGAGGAAACTTTATTCTTTTACTTCCATTCCAGGATCTTTATAATACTGTCTCTTTACTCGCAACTGATATTCTTTCAAGGTCAGCAACCCGTCCAACGTGGTAATCCTTAAATTAGCCCCACACACTGCTGGATTTATATGAGGGTTGTGCAGTTCAGCAATCTGGGTTGATGATGCAGCTGCAGGGTCCCCGCTCGCCGCCAATTGTCCCCACCAAAATTCGTTTCCAGGTAAAGCGTTGCCATCCCAGGCGTAAGATACCACTAGAAGATGACCTAAAAAATATTTCCAATGCCGTAAGTCATTTCTTGGCGCTGTAGCGGTCTATTATGCAGGGTGTTGCAGAAAATATGTCAAACCCTCAACGGCAAATTCTTATAATGAAGATAATGGGACGTTTCTTTTGCCATGTTTCATTTAGGCGCTTCTTTTTCAAGATACAGGGTGTAAAAATTGCAATGAAAAAAGATTTTTATTAATAACATTCGTTTTTCAACATATTAAAATGAAATTTTGCACAGACTTTTAGTTTATACCCATTGAACTTCAATTTTTTCCTGTACATGTCTATAATTCAAAGATATATTTTAGATAGCAAATTTCTTCGTTTTATCTTTTTTTTATTTCATATTTGCAAATTTCTGATTTACTTGCTTGATTTACGAGACATTATGACTGTTTTTAGATATATTATTATGTTATATTAATACACTTCCTGTTTAGAAATCCCAATTTATCAGTTCAGATAAGTTTCTGCGTAACATATGTCAGCAAATTAGCATTGGAATGTGATTTTTTAAAATCTTTATAATTTTTTAGACTTTTGAACACAGTTTTTCTCACCATCATCTCTAATTTTTGCTACCTCTAATTTATATTTTCGTTTGCTTGTTGGCAGTCTTTTATTATCTAGTACAGGAATTAAGCTAATTTAAAATTTGAATATTCAAGTTTCTCAAATTAGATTAAGTAAACTGGGACATTTTTTTAAGAATGCCAAGTCCTAAGCCTAAAAAACTTGGAACGTATCTAAATAAATTACAATATCTAAAGTAAATCCACATTTTGTAGTAGTAAAAAATAGAATAACATATCTAATTTTTAAACCAATATTCTTTAACCATAGGCGTACGAAACAAAAAGTTGGGGGTCAATGAGTATTAGGAATCCTTTTCCTTCGTTTGTGCTTCTATTTTTTGATTAAGCTATAAATAAAAATGTCATCTCAATACCTTAAAAAAAGGAATAACACTTTTTTAATTGTAATTTTGAAAAATGACATAAGTAAAGTCTCTTTATTTTCAACTAAAATAATATGGTTAACGGCTATAATTTGGTTGGAAATGAGAGAGAGTAATAAAACCCCGAGATAAGAACCGGCCATGGGCGTGGTAAAATTTCGTTTCAGGTAATTATCGGGTAACACTAATACTAACAGGTAATGGGTGTACATTAGTATATTTTACTGGATACATCATAGGGCAGGAGCCAGTGTATTGTGACAGATCAATCCAGTCTTAGAGCTGAATATACGAAGACGTGCTAGTGCAGTAGAGTAAAATTCGACTTGTGTTTAGTGACTATTGTGCCAGTGGATATAATATTGTTTGGGTAAAATGTCGAGCTTATCAGATTACGTACCTGCTAAACGCGTGAAAAGATGTGCGCTGTCTCAGAATGAGAAGATTATTATATTAAATGTATTTAATGCATTGAAACACCAAAATCCTACCAACAGTGTTGACGACATCGTGGAAAAGTGGGAACTCGATAATTTAATTGACGTTACTGTGGAACCTATCGTTATCAATCTAGGAGACGAAGATAATTCATCAGAATATTCAGAGGATGAATTTTAATGTACCTACTTTTTTATTTTCTTTATTGTACATTTATACAACACTACATTTACTCACCATAATTTGAATTTTCAAAATACATATATTTTTGTGTGGAATAAAAGTCTATTCATTAAATTTAAATAAATATTTTGATAATAATATTGAATAATTTTATTTGAATTACTAAAAACCCTCTTAACCCGGTTATGATGCTTAAAGTGTCTCATGTTTTGAAATGCTGTTTTTATATTGTTTACTTATAAGAGAAATGGACCGAGAAATTGAAGCAGCATAGACAAAGATGGATTGTCGGGGATTAAATTTTAGCTACCTACTACAATTTAGTACAACCCGGTCACACAAAGTTTTTTTTAAAGGTACACCTCTCCTATACCGAAAATACATAATATAAAAATATTGAATATAAGCACCAGTACTACATTTATTTACGATTTACATACATAATAAGCTTTTATTACTCTCTTTCATTTCTAAACAGACTATAGACCTTTTTTCAATAACACTGTTTAATAACGGAATTTCGACTTTCTAGGGTTAGAATGTAGAGATATCATTAGTGTTATTGACAACAATGCTTTTTACCGAAAGGTAGATAAGCGAATAATTGTTTCTCTTCTGACTTAGCCAATTGACAGAAAATGAGCAATTCTTCATTTTATTAACCCGATTCTACGTTTACACATTTTTATTTAGAAAACGTATTACCTAACCTTAGCAGAAAATATTTATTCATTTATTTATTTAAACTGCATATATAAATACAGAGAACAAAAAGAAAAGTTGCTTTCCCGTTTTTTTTTTTTTTGTTAATTTTGACGAGAAGCATTACGTTGTCTCAATATTGCTGTTGCACTTTGTATAGTATAGAGCAGCCAGTTTAACTACAGAATATTATTTACCTACCTTTATAGGACCTTTCTAGTTTTTCATTAGGATCCCTGTCAAAAATATGAACCGTAATACCATTATTATTATGACGTTCTATTGGTATTAAATCGCCATTTTTATATTTACCACACGAATGTTGTTTTATGTAAGAAAAACAAATGGCGTCGATGTAATCCAAATTTGGTGACAGGAACCTGAAGAAAATACAAGCTAAATTTAATAAATCAAAATCTGTTTAGGGTAGTAGTAAAATCAGTACCTAATTTATATTTCCATTTATTATTATTTATATTTGTATTCAATGAATTTTATATAATAAAATATCTACCAAATGTTAACGTTCCTTTTGAAGATATTAATAAAGAAAAAGAATCTCTTTGACTAATCTTTTATGAAAAATTGTTATATTTTATTTATCAAATAAATTATTGATCATATTCCAGAGATACAGACTGCTTTTTCTTGGACAGAAATCGTCTTAGCAACTGTCATTAGTTGCTAGATAGTTAAATTATTGTGTAACTCATCGCTCGCATTGTTCAAATTTTTTGTCTCATCTCCTTTTTAAACAACCTAGTTAATTTTTATATTGTATATATAATGTCATCATAAGGAACCAGCATATATATAAAAGTATGTATATATATACTCCATTAGAATAAACAATGGTGATCTAAGTATGTATCCTAGAGGGTGGAAGTTATGGTATAGTGGTACTTACTCAATTCTCTTGGCAAATGTGTCCATAAACAATTTTTCCTGATGATGAGATATCTTCCACACCCCTAGACCAAAACCAATTACATGCAAATAAGCCAGGGTACCAGCAGCTCTGCCTCGTTCATTAGCTTCAATCAAGAAAGTATCTATTGAAAGAGCAAGCCTTCTCTCATACACCATATTATTAAAGTACGTGTCTTTCCTTACTTGGGTGAATTTTGATACATCTCTAAACTGGTTTTCTAACTCGTCATAAGTTAGACTTACTTCGCCGTAAAAATTTAAGAAGACACTTTTCGTTGTTGGTATTAAAGAGTTTCCGTATCCGTTTCCGGGTACGTTCTGCTCCTTTGTAACTACTATCTCTTGGTATTCCATCACACCAGCTTTTTCGAATCTAGGTCCGATTAGTCCTATGATAATTCCTCTGTTTTCAATTTTGTTTGAATTGTATTCGATTCGCCCACAATTATCTCTGCTGCCTGAGTTGATGAACTGTGTATACGAAGATATTGATAATATTGCCGATAATTTTATTTCATCGTAGCTTAAACAGTTTTTCAGTGTTAATGGTTCTGTTTCTTTTGGCGTTCCTGAAATTGCGAAAGGAAAAAATAAAAAGCTAAAACAAGTCGAAAAAAACAATTTTTTTTCTTATAGATTTTGAGGCCTTGAAACCAATTTGAAGATTAAAAAAATTTCATCGTTTAGATTTTTTATAATCGCAGGGACAAGTCTCTTCTATATTGAATAAGCAATTACCGACTCTACCCCGATTTTAACCTAAATGACTGACTGTATGTATTTTTGGGTGTTGAACATGAATCTGCATGCGACAAACCTTTGGAAGGGTTTTAACCCCTCGTAAGGGTCCTACCAAGTTTTTACCACTTCTGTGGTCAGTCACATATTGTCAACTGTAAATACTTTAGGCAGAGGAAGAGTAATATGCAAAATTTAAATAATCACCGTGTAGGTAATCAAAACATTGAAAGATAAATATGTATGGGCATATGGCATTACTTTATTTGGACACATATTTCTTTAGTATATTTTTACAAAAATACCTTCGGTATAAATATTTGTTTAACTCATTTCATAGAACAAAATTTATAAATATAATCGAAATCAATTACGTGTCAGTATTACACAATAGATTTAAAAGCAACGAAAAGTGTCCAGTTGCAAATTGAATGCATACTGAACTGACCCTTGCACTATGTCCATCTCGCTCACTCTCTCTATAAACTGATCGACTGATTCAGTTATTGTTCCCGATTCTTCTACCGGTCTTCATTTTGCAAAGAATATTTAAACCCCGGAAACTTGGTGAATCGGGGCCAGTCCAGAGCCACGCCACTTTGAGAGCCAGTCGATGGCCAAGACCCAGGTTACCATTTTGTCCTCCACAAGAAAAGTAACCCCTCAGAGGTGTAAGTATGTGTTTTATATAATAAAAATGAAAAAATGAATTGATTTGCCTCTCTGTTTTTACCCTTTTAGCAGCCAAGCGAGTAGCCCGAGAAAATAAAAATATATTTTTTTTTATAGTTGCTTTTAGTATTCTCAATAGGAAACGTTGTTGGCGCTTCAGCCTGTCCAACGATTTTAATCCTTCATTCAAATACAGGCGTACTCTTACAGTGAAATGGGCAGAAGCACCATCATTCATAAACCAAAACTGAACACGTAGAGGTACATCTTTAAGAAGCACTGGAAGTACTTCGAGAATGTGAACGTATGTACAGCCAAACTCATTTTGTCCGCTTGCTGTCTTGGTCAAGAACGAGTCCGTAGTAGGACTGACAAAGATAGGAGACCTTAATAATAGGGCAGGTACCTTCTGTGCAGTTATGTATACCGATGTTCACCGTTCGACGTCCAGACAGAGAATGAGCTCTGGTGCTATAATGCCTCTAATGGTAATGTTGCTACAGTGCATGAGAAGGTAATTAAGTAGAATTCCAATTCTTTTTGAAGAAAACTGTTGTTGATAATGAACTTCAGCTAAGGCATGTGGATGTTATTCTTATCGATTCTCACAAAAAATTTACTTTGCCCAGTTTTTTTCCTGAATCGAATGAGAAAATTCAAAACGTTGGGGATAATCTTGCAATAAAAGAGCCTGGACTTGTGGTATGTGAAAGGGATATAAGTTGTTCCATGAAAATGATCTCACTGAAAACTCTAGTTAGAGGACAAACAGAAAATAGGTACTATATTTATTAATACAGAACCGTATTTCATGAAAAGTTTAATTCATATAGAAAAAAAATATGCCTACTATTAAGAAAAATATTTCTAAAATACTGAGTTAAAACTTAAATGAAAATTTATAATTAAATACGTCTTCATTCTCAAAAATGTTTAATATATGTGTAAATTTAAGCAGTTTTCTTACCTACTAATTCCCACTTTCCAGACCTACCAAATCCATCTAGTAACATGTATCTGTCGTGTGGACCAACAAACGCTACGGCCCTCTTCTTTAACAACCTATCTACCAACATATCTAACGTCATATCTTTGTAAAGTTCCCTCTCTACTCCACTTCCAAATTTTCTTTTATTTTGTAAAAAATTAGAATACAATATCAGGACATGTTCATGAACCACTGGATATACCGAATTGATATTTTGCGTCAAATCTTTAACATTTGTTGCAGCTATGCTCTTACATTTGACGGATTCAATTGGAAAATCTATAGGAAACTTCTCACTGTTGCCTATGACTTGCTCTAAACTTACATCGGGAATGTATTCTTCAATGTTAATTTTCATCAGTTCTTCGTAATCTTGTTGAGACCATCGAGGTGATTGGGCGGGCCATATTTCCCACATTTCCACTTATACGATTTGTAAATTAACGATAGAAATAAAACTATTGTACTTACATAAAATGTATCTATATAACTATGTGTATCTACCTTATCCTTATCACATTTGATTTACCGCAGCTCTCTATTGAGATTAACCAATATTGCGCGATTTTGTAATACCTATTCCACAGCTGCTTACATTAATTACACTAGTACTATCTATGACAGAACAGCGCAACTGATGGAAGTATTTGTAGAGTTTTACTGACTGCTAAGGTAGCAGCGAGTTTATGTTTAAAAGATGTCTCTGGGTGTACACAATTAATCATCTTGCAGTTACTCCTGGAGCGCGTTCAGATAAATCGTCGGGCTTTGCCGGACGGTAGCTCAATCTCTTTCTAGACTATTGCTATAGAAAGAGACCCACGTATCGTCAGGCAATGCTTAACGTTTCATCTGAATACACCCCAGAGGCACTGTCTATATTGTTTGACATAGAAATATATATTTAATAAAATAAAATATCCTATCAATTTAGATGTGTCACTGATTTACGCAACAAACTGATTCAAATTTTCTTATGAATACTGTAAATTTATGGATTGCTTTTCTTTACTAAATAGTTAAGAATAAAAAAACTACTTCATTAATTTGCATATTTTATTTCCTTAAAAAATTTAATTTCACATCATTTCTTTGGGTGTACTTGTACAGCGCATTTCATTTTCGATGTCGGGCTAAAATATATATATCGATTTTCTATTGAAGACAGAATCTTGCGGATTTCGCTAATATTACTAAATTTTTTTCAATGTTCTTGTCAAAACAGATTTAATATGTTCTTATGTTTTATGTGTTAGTAGTTGAGTCATATGAAAAGTTTTGATATATCGAATGACCTCAGTAGCAGCTTATTTTATTCTAAAATGTTGAATCTTTACCTTATTTGCATAGAATCAAATAGAGTACTATCGATATTTTGTAGCTCTAACGGTTTCCAAGTTGCGGATCGAAGCTATCTTTTTTATGAAAATCATAGATGGCCATGAGCTTATTAAAAGATGGTATTGGTGTGCTTTTGAAACATAGAAATGATAAATATAGCCTATATTTTTTCTAAATTAAAAAAAAGGAAGAAGTTGGCCATGATTAAAAACAGATACACTACTAAACAGTATCTGAAGCGACTAATTTAAATAGTTGGCTATGGAGAAAAACAAATTCACAAGTCGGCGGGGTAACTATAACCTTTTTCATTAAATATGTACAACAAACTACATATTTTTGGAATGTGAACAACATCCTCTTTTTAACTCTGTAAAAAAACTTTTAAAAAATATGACTTGGATCTGTATTTCGAAAACACTTATAAAAAAATGGTATGCCACTGGATTTTATGCAAACGAATGTAGAAGAAAATGAAAATATTTTAAAAAAATAAAAACTATATCCAGATATTAAAATTTATTTTTTGGCCACGCCACATACAGGAACTAAAAATACATAAAAAATCTGTTTTGGCCAGAAGATTTTTCTCAAAAAATTTGGCAAAGACCGTAATTTTTTGTCTTCAATAATAATCGAGATACTCTAGAGTGACATCAATCAATCTCTAATCTCTAATAAATTGTCACCTCAGGTATTGAAGTTAAATTTAATTATTTTCAAACCAGTGTATTTTTGTATTACAAGCAGTCACTCGGTGCAAAAATTGTATAATTATATTGGGAGAAATATTCGAATTTCGCCTATCGAACTAACAGACCTCAATCCCAATATAATACATGCTATTTTTATTTTGTGAATGCATTATATTTACCTACATTTAATTACACAGCCACACAAAAAAAAGTTGTCTGTACTTTTTATGCGGCATATGTTATCCATAGTATTTTTGCCTAATGATCACGAATCCGGTGTCAGAATTGAGCCATCATATCACAGGAATTTCCTAACTTCAAAAAACAGGTTAAAAATAACAAAAATTCATGAAATAGTGGTAGGCAAAATACAATTTTTTTCTATATTCAAATGTTCATTTATATGGTTAAGACCCGGCCAAATGTGAATCCGCGGTTAGAATTGATGGTTCTTTTTCTAGTCTCAAAAAAAACGGGTCAATAAGGGTCAGATATCACGAATTTTAAAAAAATAACAGATTCGCGCCAAATTTGGTATACAAGGGTTTTCGGGGTCGCTGATCACGGATCCGAGGTCAATTTTGCAAAATTCAAGATGGTGGATCCAAGATGGCCGACCACATTTTCAAAAAATAACAGATTTATGCCAAATTTGGTATACGGGGGTTTTCGGGGTCGCTGATCACGAATTCGAGTCGCCAAGGGGTAAACAACGATCTTTCGCTAATAAAGTACGAAAATTTATTTATTTTTATTTATACCCACCTGTTTATTTACTTGTTTACGATGAACACGTCTATGATTAGCCGACGAGTACTCCGAACTCTAGTGATGAGCGACCTCGAAAATCCCCGCATACCAAATTTGACGCGAATCTGTTATTTTTTTAAAATTTGGTCGGCAATCTTGAATCCACCATCTTGGATTTTTCAAAATTAACCTCGGATCCATGATCAGCTACCCCGGAAACTCCCGTATATCAAATTTGGCATGAATTTGTTATTATTTGAATATTTGGTCGGCCATCTTGGATCCGCTATCTTGAATTTTGCAAAATTGAGCTCGGATTCGTGATCAGCGACTCCGAAAACCTCCGTATACCAAATTTGGCGCGAATATGTTATATTTTGCAAATTCGTAATATCTGACCTTAATTGACCCGGTTCTTTGAGGTTAGAAAAAGAACTATCAATTCTGACCACGGATTTATGTTCGGCGGGGTCTTAACCATATAAATGAATGAATTGAACATAGAAAAAAAAGTTTTGTATTTTTCCTGGCACTTTTTCGTGAATTTTTGCTATTTTTGACCTGTTTTTTGAGGTTTGTGATGTGATAGCTCAATTCTGACACCGGATTCGTGATCAGTAGGTAAAAATACTACAGATAACATATATCGTATGAAAAGTACACACAACTTTTTTTGTGTGTGGCTGTGTTATAGATTTACTACTAATTTAATTAAATAAATATTTTAATATAGTTATAAATTATAAAAAAAATCTTATCCAAGAATCTTTATAAGAAGCAAAACTGGGATTGCTCCTTATTTAAACTGACTTGATTCCTTTTATCTCTCTAATTTATTGAAGAGTGCAGCAAGATATGTGCAACTAAATATCACAATGCTTTTGTAGTGCAATATTTATAAAATTTATTATTAGCTGGTTTAAATGAAATATTTCTCCATGAGAAATACTATGAATCCAACTAGGTACCCCAAAAAGAGCAGATAAAACATAACCAAAAAATGGGACAACTGCAAAATATTTTCTCCCGAAGGAGGGATAGTATTATAGTACAATTTTTTGTGGAGTGCGTATTGCTCTATAAGCAGTAGACATTTGTTAATTTTCAGCAAAAAGGGTGAAGTTTTTTGGAACAAATACGCCCTACTTCCGGGGATCAAAACCTCATCCACAACTTCATAGACTGGATCGCCGTACTTTCTTTTGTTCTCATTTATGTAGTAGCCAACCAATTGCCTGGATGCAATAAATGCTCCACTCGTATTTTTTTCCTCAATGCATTGTATTGTCTCAGACACGTTCATGTATACGAAATTTTTTTGTAGTCCAAAACTCTCGGGAATATTGTATGACTGTGCGAGAAAATTGTGTATGTAAATTTTCATTTGACTATTTCTAAGCTCTTCAATGGTTTTTATACTTTTTTCGTATCTTGGTTTGACGAAGGATTTCGTCAGTGAGGTTTGGAAACAGACTCCTAGTACCACACTCGAGTATATCCAAAGCATCAATAACCACTTCTTCTTGGTCCTATTTATTAAGTGACGTGGTATACCCATATTAACTAAAGAGGACCAAATCACAATGATGTTTATTCCGCATGTGTTGCTTATAAAAAAGTATAATGCTTGTAAGACAGATATTGCCAATAAGAGTACACACCATGTCGAAAAATCAAATATGTAGAATATATATCGATAAGCAGGAATCTTTGTAGGTTTTGGTACTATTGCTACCCTGTCTCCCATTTCGTAGGAGTATGAATAACTTACATTGTGAAAGTAGCGCACCTTAAAGAACAATAAGTATAATTAATATTGAATTACTTTTTGAACAATTACCTAAATCTACCAAAAGAATAAAGTAATAGTAAACACTTGATAAATTAAAGAAAATACTATTGACTTGACAATGTCATGATTTTAATAGTTTTATGCAACGAATTGTAAACACTAGAAGGAGCTTTGGATGTATTTGTTTGCGAATGTACATAAATAAATCAGATCAACGAATTGTAACCACTAGAAGGAGCTTTGGATGTATTTGTTTGCGAATGTACATAAACAAATCAAATCTTCAGGAGACACAAATTTCTATTGGTCGAATTAATAGTCCCGCCTACGTCCGCATTTCGATGATTGTCGATGACATCTGTCAAAGGAAAAGTGTGTAGCCGCTATTAACGTATTTGAGTTTATTTGTGTTTAGTGTGGCATTTTCCTCTTATTGTTGTGTAGTTTTTATGTATGGACATTTATTTAGTGATAAGATATAGATATAGATATAGATATAGAAATTGTGTTATTTGTAAAGTTTTATTTAAAAAAGGCGGACAGCGGTCTTTTGACAGGTAAGTAAACAAGCAACATGGGCGGCGTTTGAGGAATTACATAAGAGTGTTTTACATTTAGTACTTAATTAGCAGTGATAAAATACTGACTAAATCATTATCTAAATCATTAAAAAGATATATTTTTTAATTGTTCAACATATTTTTTCCTGTTTCAGTAATATTATAAGTATATTATGAGTAATACCTGTATTTTTTAGATATCCTAAGAATCTGAAACTTGTGGAAGCTCTCCCTAGGTGATGTCAATATTACCGACAACATTTCTGTTTGTTCTGATCATTTTGCGATTAATGATTTTCTGACAAAGCCATCAGGTATAAAGTACTTGTGAGAGATAGCTATTCCAATAATAGCTTCTACTTATAGCAGGTAAAATAACTATTATATTGATTGAAATATAGAAGTAAAA